AATTCATATTATATCAATTGTGACATCCATAAGAAATAGGAACTCCTACCATTGCCTTGAGAGGTGATATTTTGTCATGAACAAAGAAAGGCCAAAGTTATGCGCAATAGTTGTCGGAGTGGTTACCATGCTGAGAGCAGAACAATATATAAATAATATCATGTTCTTCATTATTGTTGGGTTATGTAGATTATCATATTCAATGAAATTGCCTAGTACTTTATTGTTGTGTTTCTAATTAGAAGACTGCAGTTGCACCTGATATTAGGGGATGGTAAATGGAAGATACAAATTATAAATAGTTTATTATTTAGATATTATATATGAAAATATCAAGTAATTATAAATGTCATTTACAATCATCAACGATCTTAATGGATGATTGTTTTCATGGACATAAACGAAGAAAATATCCTACAAGTTGAGTGCAGCTGGAGGGGGCTCAATCCATTTGAGCCAAGAAAAGTTTCCGGTTGTAGCATCTTGAAACATTTGTTTTAAGGGAACAAAATCCTCCATGTGTTATATTTAATTAATGAATAATAACAGACATGCTTGTGAGACGATCAGTCTTGAGCATAAAAAGTTATCGATGTGTTATCTTCATTTGTAATGTAGTGCACAAGAAAGGGTTTTATGTTTTTGTACCACCTTTTATACTTTTTGTGCATCAGATTTGATACTATAGGTTGTCAAATTTCAATTTTTTGTCGAAATATATTACAAGTGGAGTCAATTTCAATTATTTTACCTCTGTTAGAGCATCTACAGCTGGACTGGACAAATCCAGCCCCTCAAACGCCCATGCGCATGCGTGGGCGGTGATCGAGCACGCCTCAAATTTCAACAGTTACATCCGGACATCTCATACTAGATTCTCAAATCTATACAAAGACATGCAAACTAAAATAAACCTACGTGCTACGTCAATCACCTACATACTCATCATCGGAGATGTCGACGATGTCCGTGCCCGGCTCCGGTAGCATGGGCGACAGTTGTAGTTCCGGTGGCTCCAGCTGCTCCGTTCCAGGCTCCTTCGCCTCTATCTCCGCGTCGAGTTCGGTGAAGAGCGCATCAAATGCCGCCTGCTCCTGGCGGAGGAACGCCCGGTTGGCCTCCACATAGGCCTTATCTTGGATGGACTCCAGATGGCCTGCTGCTCGGCCATCTCCTCGAGCTAAGCAACGGCGAACTCCGGCTCCGCCTGCTCCATGTTGAAGCCCGACAGCTCCTGCTCCAGCAGCTCCGGCTCCTGCTGCTCCGCCTCCCTCGCCTCCTCCACATCCATCGGAGCCATCTCCTTCTCCTCTTCCCCCAGCTACTCCTCCTCCTCCAGTTTCGGCGAGTCTGGAGGCAATCCAACAGCGATGCGGGCGGTGCGCGCAGCTTGTCTCCCCCGAATCTCCTGCTGGATCTCGTAGCGGCGCTCCGGCGTCAGCATTGTGTAGTAGGTGATCTTGCTCCGGACCATGGCGGAGCGCCAGAGCGGGAGAGGGAGGAGGTGGATGCGCTCGGACTAGCGGCGTGGGGAGGGGGAGGTGGATGCGCTCGGACTAGCGGCGTGGGGAGGGGGAGGTGGATGGGTTAGGGTTGCGGGATGCCGGCCGGCTTAAATAGCCGGATTTGGTCTTGGGCGCTGAGCCAGAGCGGCGCCACGCGACGTTCACACCGTGGCGACGGACGCTGCGTCCGTCGGACCGCCGGGTTTCTGGGTGTTTTCGCGTGGGATCCCGTCGTCAAACCGACGTGGCGGGCATGCCCGGACGCCCCCATATTCGCCCTATATTTGGGCTAGATATGAGGGGTGCCGGTCAGCCCAGGTGTTTGAAGCCCATTTGAGGGGCCCGTCTGGGTCAAAAAAATCATGACCGGGTGGACTGCACGAATGTTTAAGGTCGATTTGGGGCGCCCGGCTATAGAGGCTCTTAATGGTTATCTTTTCTTTATATGTGAAATTTGACATGTTTATATATGTAAGAGCAACTCCAATGGGGCGACCCATTTCGTCCGCCCGCGTCCGTTTGGGTTGGCGCGGACAAAAGTGGCGGCCCAACGCGCCGACCCAAACGGACGCACGTCCATTTTTCGTCCGCTGGCGACCCATTCCCGGCCCAATTTTGAGCCGGATTTGCGTCAGCGTGGAAACGAGACGGACGCGCGCGTGCGTGCCTACTCCTCTCCCAGGGCCCGCCGGTCGGTGGCAGCCACCACCATTTCCCTCCATTTTCCCCAAAAACACTCTCGCCCGCGCGCGCCCCTGCCCCCAACCAGCCATGAAGGACGCCATCGACCTCGACCTCGACGCCGCCGAGGGCCTCGCCTCCCTCGCGTGGTCCGGCGCAAGACCGCCGCCGCGACCAAGCCGAAGAAGGCGCTGACACCCAAACAGCAGGCAAGGGAGTCGGCCAAGAGGAAGGGTCGGAGGCACGCCGCAGACGCGAGGGATGAGGCCGCCGCACATGCCGCCGCCGCGCAGCAGGAGTTCACCAACGCCCGCATCACGGCGACAACGAGGGAGGCGCTCTACATGCTAGGGGTAAACCCTAGCCAGCACGGCCTCGTCCAAGCCGCCGTCACCGCCGCCAGCACCGGCTCGTCGGCGTTTCCTCAGATGGTGCTGCCGGACTCACCCCGCGCGTCGGCTTGCAACCCGGTCCCCGGCTTCCACGTCTACCTGCAGGCCTCCCGCCTCTCCGGGGAGTGCTCACTCGACGTGAGCATGGTCGCGCCTTCCACGCCCACGCTCGCGCCCGCGCCCATCAATCTCAACACCACATCGGTGGTCGCTGGCTCGTCATCCGGCGACACGAGGAAACACGTGCGGCAGACGCCGGCCGGCGGGCTCCCGGACGCCCGTAACCTGTTCGAGGAAATGTCGTCCGTCGTCGACGAGGACTACATGCAAAACCTCATCTTCGAGGGTGGTGCGCCGGGCGCTGGCTACAATCCCGAGGAGACACAAAGCCAGGACAGCCGCGGGGCGTTCACGCCGACCGGTGGCTATGATCCCGATTAGGCGGCCTTCATGCATGGTCAGGTCGGCATCGACCTGGACGGCTTCCCCCTCGACCACGAGTTTTCGGACGACTATGGGCTAGAGGAAGAGGACGAGTGCGACATCGAAGTGGAGCCTTTTCGAGGACGAGCTCGCCAACCAAGCCGCCGGTCCTAAGCCGAAGCGCAAGAGCAAGCACACGAAGGCGTACATAGCTGCCGAGGACAAGCTTCTTTGTGAGTGTTGGTGAGACATTGGACAAGACCCAAAGACGGGCACCGAGCAAAAGCATTCAACCTTTTGGACTCGTGTGCACCGAGAGTTTCATGAGCGCAAGAAGTTTCCACCTTACCAATTTGTGAGCACGCGCGGGTGGATCTCCTTTTCCAAGCGGTGGACGGTGATCCAATAAGAGTGCAACAAGTTTTGCGCCACCCTTGAGAGCGTCAAGTCCCGCCCCATGATAGCAAGCAAGCCGCCCTCTTTTGTGTCATCAAGATCATCCTTTTACGTCTTCATTTGCTATCACTTGCCCATATGCTTGCATGGAAACATTTTGTAGGCATTTCAAGCTTTAGAGGCATTCAAGGTTCAACACAATGGCAAGTGCTTCAACCTCTCCCATTGCTATCGGGTCATCAAGGACGAAGAGAAGTTCAAGGC